CCCATGCCCATCCCAGTTCCAGCCCTGCCAGGATGATCTGCTCAGTTCCCTACTCTCTTGGCTTCAAGGTGTGCCAAGGTGCACTCAAAGGCCTCACACAGGATCCAGAACATCCCCAACGGGAGCAACTCAGGAAGCACCAGCCACAGGTCCTCTGCTGCCTGGGAAGTTTGTTCCAGAACATCTCTCCTGGAAGGACCCTCACCTTGCACACCAGCTGTCTGTTCCAAGCTGTGCCTCCTGGTGACTGCCAGAGGTTATTCCCCATATTTACATTACCTACAAAAAGTTGTTTCTTCCATTGAGGAGCTGTTTCATGACTACACCAATAAAAACGTGTTAATGAGTTATTTCCCTGCACCTCTGAGCATTCAGAGTGATTTTGTTTCCCACTAAGGGTCCATGTACAGCACGTGCAGATGGGTGCTTGCTGCAAAGTTTTATCATTTGGATTTAAAAAGCTCTTGAATGATCCCCTATCATGATCCAGTCTGACAATGTGAGGGGGCTCAAGCTGCTCTAGGATCGCCTGAGATGTCACTACCCCACTGTAACCTCTCTTTGCCATACAATTCTCCAACTCTGTGCCAGAACTGCCATCTCTACGAACCCAGGAGGAGCTGGGGCATGGAAAGGGGTCCCTGAGGAGCCCCTGTTCAGGTGAGTTCCACGGTTGGGTCAGCACAAGGGAGGGAACAAGAACAGCTGGGACATGATGGGGACATGATGGGGATCCCAGCAGCTCTCCCAGCTCCACTGGCAGCTTCAGCTGGTGTAAGCACAGGGGTTTATGCCAAATCAATCCAATTTTTGATCATTTGGAGCATTGTCTACACAGCCCTTAGTGGAAGGTGGTGGTTCACTCTTGAGTTGCAGAACTCTCTCATGAGTTACACCTCAGGAGCATCCTCCTGGCTGGCTGTGAAGATATTTCCCAGCAGTTTTTCCAGGACACATTCAGAGCCCCAGTATTGCTGCATACCCACAAACACAGGGTAATTCTGGACATCTGTGAACCACACACAAGTGACAGTGACAAAAAAGGCTCTGCAAGTGAAACTTGGCCATAAGGCAGCCACTGTTACCTCAAAAAACCCAGACAGGCGTGGTGAACTTTCCCAGGTGACACCACCTCGTTGCTGCCAGGTCCCAGGGCAGCAGGGAAGCACCCAGGAAGCAGCAACATTCCACTCCTCATGGAATCACAGACTGGGCTGGGTTGGAAGGGACCTCAAAGTCCATCCCATTCCACTCCTTGCCATGGCAGGGACACCTTCCACCATCCCAGGCTGCTCCAAGCCCCATCAAACCTGAGCTTGGACACTTCCAGGGATCCAGGGACAGCCACAGCTTCTCTGGGCACCCTGTGCCAGGGCCTGCCCACCCTCTGAGGAAGCTGTTCTTTTCTGCTTCCACACTCATTTAAACAACTAAGACCCAATTCTGCTGCCAGAACTATTTGTGATGCACCAGAAGTTTTATCAAATAAACATGAAAAACTACCTGGGAAAAGATCCATATATTGCCTTTCTTCTTCTTTAAATCCTGATCAATTCCTCTGTTCAGTTCACCACATGATCCTGCACACATAAAATGGGTGTGTGTAGCAGGAATAAGAAGTGGGTGTTATTTAAATTGTCACTGCTGCCGAAACAAACACTCAAATTAGAGCTTCAGAGCAAATGACTACTGCCATCATCACTGCAACCTGGGGAGTTTCAAGGAATTAACAACTGAAAAGCAGTTTGGCATTCCCTTTGCTTTGACCCCTCAATTCAAACTCTGATACTTCTGTTCACTCAGATTTTGTCTTAGCAGCCTCAAAGTTCAGAATGGTCTCACTGCTGCAAAGGGCACCATACAAATTAAACATTTTTAAACCTCCAGCCACCCAACCCCTCTCAAGAAGTGTCAGCCTGCACTGCCACCAAGCCAAATAAGCTTTTTCAGAAGGAAGTAGACACGTAAAATTCAAAGCAAGGCCAAAAAACCAACTGTTCCATCACCCTCACATGGTGAATTCAAGTGAATCCAAGTGTTTGAGCACTTAGTGTTAGAGCACGAAGAAACACAGACCTCATTTAAAGTTATTATAAAGAACCTGAATGCAATGGGACTCTCTACATCAGGCCCAAATCTTTATCTGGAACTCAGGACTGACATGATAACAACACTTCAGCCCTTGCACATCAGGAAATGCTCCCCGCCCCCCTACATTTTGTCACACACCTGAGACAACCTGCTGCCTTTACACACAAAATGTGAGACTGCTCAAAACAAGATGAGCTGCAAGTGAGGAAAGGGACAAAGAGGGCAAGAGGTACAACAGGTTCTCTGCACCTCCCTCAAAACTGCTAAGCTCATTAGGGCTTGCAGAAAAGGATAAAGCTCAAGCAAGAGCCATTCCTAGTCTACTTTCGCCCACACGTAACACTTCCTGCATCCAAAGAAATCGCTGAGACCCTCAGGAAGTGAACCAGCAGCTTCCCCTGCTTTCTACATTTATATTATTACAGCAGTGCCCTGCACCTTCTTAAGGCACTACTGGAAAGCATCTTTACCACTGGTGAGGGGGGTTTTGTCTCCAGCACTTGGAGAAAACAGCCACGGAAGCATCTTTAACCACGCAACTTTTGCCATCTGGGAGATCAGCCCATGCCAATGCACCACCTAATATATTCCAACACACAGGCCAATTAATTATTAATAATTCAGGCCATGGACCACTCCTGAAGGTCTGTGCAGCAATACAGGCTGTTACTCAAACCAAAGCTGGGTTTGTGTCACAGAGGGGTACTAATGGCAAATAATGAAGTTATTATCTAATATTTAAAAACAGGAACAGATTGCTACATATTCAGCATGAGGAACCATTTAATTGCAAGTACAATTCTAGCAGCTGGTTGGAAATGACAGGCTCATCCACAGAGTAAAAACCAACATTTCTCATTACTCTTGACATCAGGGAATAAACTCCCCCAGGAGTACAGAGCATGAGTTACCAAGGCAAAGGTATTCTGCTGGGTGGAAGGGGTGGCTTCTTAGCACACAGAGTCCAAAGGCAAAAGCCTTGTTCCCACCAGAATCAAGGAACATCTCCCTTGTCAGACCTCACAGAACAGAACTCCTGCTCCCCTCCACCTCCTGCTATATTCTCACAGAAGCCTTGGAAGGAAAGCGATGCTGGTACTCAGTGCTTAGGTCATGGAGCAGAAGTGGTTTGCCCATATGTTTCCTCGAGGAGAAAAGGCTGAACAAATGAAGACACAATACCAGACATCCCGGGTGGCTTCTAGGATGATGTAAGTTCTTTTAAAAATAGCTTATTTCTTATAGGTGTCCTTTGAAATAGTTCAGAATTTACACGGGTAACCTCTAAGTGTGGGAAACTAAGTTATAAATATATTCTGCAGCAATTACTAGAGGAGGTTCAAGTGCTAAACATGTGTAAATTCAATATTGCTCCCGAGTCAGCAGGGCTTTATGGAGCAGCTGGAGATGAACAATCAGCCCAAGAGATGATTTTCTGAGGCCAGCAGGTTCTGCAAGCTTGGGGAAATGATTATTTTGACCAGTTCGACCCAAAAGATGTAGAGAAACTTATGTGCTATTTTTTTTTCATTTACGGCATGATCTGTGAGTCGACCAAGATCCATCTAACCACTCAGGAATGAATATCCACAGTAGCAGCTCATGTTAGGGAATGTATTAGGGAATTTAAGTGAAGCTTAAATTTAAATTTTCCCGACAGTAAAGCACCATGAAGAACCAACCACCTCCTCTTTCCTCAGCCCCATAGGCTGGACTGGTTTTGCCCACTGACACTACTGGTGCAGCTTTCACCCTCTCCAGAAACACACACGCCAGCTATACTGAAAAGCTTGAATTAAATCAAGGCCTCAAAGCTTGACTAAGTAAATGAAGAAGTCAGTGACAACAATGAATGCTTGTAGGCTTGAACACAACTAATTCTGTCAGGAGAAGATTCTGAGAGCCAGCAGAAAGTGGGCTGGAGCTTTCCATGAGTCCCTACAGGCACAGCAGCTCATGGCTGCACTGACTGTCCCAGCAGGAAAACAGCAGAGCCACTTCTTGTACTTTCACACTGCTGCCCAAGTGTGATTCAACTCAGAATCTGCTTTTTAAGCAGGTTGAAAATGTAAGTTTTTCTTCTCTCTGTGCCAGTGATGTCCCAGGTAGTGAACAATCAACAACACCACATATTCCATGTGCTTTGGAGCCAAGAGTCTGAGCTCTCAGCCTGCACAATGAACCTCAGCTACACCACCTCTGCTCTCCTTCAAGAAAAGGTTAATGGAAGACAGACCCTGCCTACAGGCACTTCAGAACAATGGGTTGATTTTTCTGCCACCAATTATTGCCCTGGATAAGTATCAAGTATGTAGAATTATAATTTAACATACATTACTCCTAAACTTAAGGGGCTACTGATGTCTTGGGAGCTCTGGCCTCCCCTTGCAGAGAGCTGGTTATTTTGGGTCCTTTCACAACAGGATGGTGTAACATCAGTGTGTGGAGAAAGGGAAGAGTATCCATCACAATACTGACTGCTGGCTGCTTAGTTCTGCACAGCCACAGTGTCTGACAAAGTAACACCAGAATTAGGGTAACCACTGCAGCTGACAGTTCTGAAGTCAAAAGACACCACGGTTATGCTAGAATTTTATTAAAGTAGGTTGGCACTCAGTCTCACATAGAGTGAAAAATCTGCAGCCACAGAAAGAGAGCTCAGAGCAAACAGGATTGATGAAGTGCACTAACTGACATTTCAGCAAGATCCACATTAAAGTACTGCAAACTCAGACAACGCTGACATTTAACAGCCCACAATTACCACCACGATTTGTTACTGTTACTCCAACGTGTAACACTGCAGCTCGCCACAGATGCCCAGCCCAGGGGGTTCCACAGAACCTACAAGGTCAGGGTGAATTTTCTTCAGTCCCCATGTCACATGCAGGCCGCTCCAGGAGGGGTTCCAAACGACAATAACTTTATTAGCTACTTTAGGACTTTGATACACGTCTATCACAAAAAAGCACTTGTTCAGACAGGAGCAGGTATGACTTTAATAGAACCAAAGCACCATTTCACACACCCCAGCCCCTGGAATAACACGTACACACTCAGCCTGATGCCCCAGAGGCTTCCCCAACAAACTGCAGATGGCCAAGACAGACCAACCTTGGCATCCTGTGGTGGTGACTGTTGATCTAAAACCCAAAAATTGGACAGATTGAGGGCCCTGCAGTACTCTCACGGTAATAAACACCTAAGCGGAGAACTGCTTGGATGAGCCAAAAAACCCTTAAAAGGAGTAAATGATCCTTTGGATAACCGCCACTTAAGGCCACTTACAGGTAAAATACACGCTGACTTCTGTGCTTACACCACATCCCAGAAGGAGCAGATAAGCTCATTACGGCACTGCAGGAAGGGATAAAAGCGAAGACCGAGGCTGCTCGGTGCTGGAGCAGCTCCAGAGCCTCGCAGCCACCGCCGGAGCCCTCCTGGCGTCCCCGCAGCGCGGGGACCCCCGGCCGCGGCCGGAGCGGCCGCT